GGCCGACGCCTCCAGCCAGCTCTCCTACGAGAACTACGGCGGCGCCGCTTTCCCGGCCGCGTTCCCCGGCGCGTATCGCCTGGGCTTCGGCGCCGCGGCCGCCGGGCTGGAGCGGGGAGCCTACGACGCCTACGAGGCCGTGGGGAAATTCGGGAACGCCGCCCGCTTCTCCTACACTTCCCAACACTCGGACTACGGGCAGCGCTTCCAGCAGCGGATGCAGACGCACGTTTAGGGGGTGGGGAGGGGTCTGCAGGTACCTCACGAGCGTCCCCTGATATTCAGGGGTTCATCCCGATCTTCCTCCCGCCCCCCGATCCCGGGGTTCCCCCGGAGATTCCGTTCATTCCGTTGGTTGTTTTTGCCGGTACTTTTGCCGCCCCGCCCGGAGGAGGGTGAGGAGTTGGTGGTGCGCGGCGTCGTTCCCGGGGTTTTCACAGGGAGCGGTTGGGTGGGGTGCCGGATCCGGAGGGACGCGCAGATCCCAAAAATTCCCTGATCCCAAAGCGTTCCCATTCATTCCTCGATCCGACTGGGATCGGCAGGAGGGCTCCGTGGGATCCCGGATCCGGAGGGATCCCAAAAAACATCCTCATCCCAAAGCATTCCCATTCCTCCAGGGCTCTGCAGGATCCCAGATCCACAGGGATCCCAAAAATCATCCTCATCCCAAACCATTCCATTCCTCAATCCCATTGGGATCGGCAGGAGGGCTCCGTGGGATCCCGGATCCAGAGGGATCCCAAAAATCATCCTCACCCCAAACCATTCTATTCCTCAATCCCACTGGGATTGGCGGGAGAGCTCTGCAGGATCCCAGATCCAGAGGGATCCCAAAAATCATCCTCATCCCAAGCCATTCCCTGAGGATTCTGCGCGATCCCAAATCCACAGAGATCCCAAAAAATTCCTCATCCCAAACCATTCCCATTCCTTGATCCCACTGGGATTGGCAGGAGGATCTGTGGGATCTCTGTGGGATCCCGGATCCAGAGGGATCCCAAAAAATTCCTCACCCCAAACCGTTCCCTGAGGATTCTGCGCGATCCCAAATCCACAGGGATCCCAAAAAATTCCTCATCCCAAACCGTTCCATTCCTCCAGGGCTCTGTGGGATCCCGGATCCAGAGGGATCCCAAAAATCATCCTCACCCCAAACCGTTCCCTGAGGATTCTGCGCGATCCCAAATCCACAGGGATCCCAAAAAATTCCTCATCCCAAACCGTTCCCTGAGGGCTCCGCCCGATCCCGGATCCAGAGGGACGCGCAGATCCCGAAAAATCCCCGATCCCAAACCATTCCCGTTCCCTGTGCCTTGATTCCGGGGCCACCCCTCCCTCAGGGACGGCTCCGGCCCCGTTTTCCCTCATCCCAAAAATCCCCCCCCGGAGCCGGAGGCCGCGGGAATTTGGGAATTTTTGGGAGCAGCCCCTCCCCCGTTCCACGCGCACATCGTTCCCGTGGGAAAGGCCGGGATCCCCCCGATCCCGGATCCCCGGGATGATCCCAAAGTTGGGATCTGGGAAGGGGGGGGGGG